TTATTTTCTATATTTAATAAAAGAATTTACAAAATTAATTATTTATCCTTTCATTTAATTGATTTTATACCACTGTGTCGAATTAACACCGAGGGACCTATTATGATGTGAAACTGAGGGGCGATTGCCGATAAAAGAAATACCTGTCAAAAATGTTTCCGTGAACTATTTCCCATATAAGTTTCATCAAAATCGATAGGTGCAAATTCGATGTGTTCACTTCTTAGATACTCTGGCAACCCGATTGTTCTAATAAACTTCTACCTACAGGGTGGCCCGTAACTCTTCGAACATCCGGAAATGGGGGGTTGCTGGAGTGACTCTGAACAACTTTTTCCTTTTCCAAAATGTAGTTTGAGGCTTCGTTTTCGAATTATTCACGAAAAACACTGGTCAATCACAGCGCGCGTAGCGCCCGCTCTCAGGGACGAGCGAACAGGGATTCACCCGCGCGCTATCGTGAACGAGACGCGTACGCGTGACTTCTTGGTTATCTACTTTTATAAGGCTTAGAGAAATGGTTTTTTGCCGTCATTCCGACGTTTGTATAAATTTTTGAAAAAACTGCAATTAGTCGGAAGCGCGAAGAAAATAGCGAAGGTCGTTTTTACAACTTTTTGCCTTTCTACATCAATTTCAGCCAGTTCTGTCTCTTTTCTGACCGATATGGACGCTTTTCTCGCTTTTTTAACGGAAGCGGTCATCGATCGCTCTGCGGACTTTGAAGCAAAAATTGCACATAGCATTGAACACCTATGGTCATGCCCAAAACTTGCATAATTTGTATGATGCTTAATAATCCGTCGTCAAAATTACAAACTGCAATGTCAGAAGCAATGTCAAGCACAGTTTTGTCAAGCTTTGATACAACGTTTCCTTGCATTCCCTTAGATAATTGTTGACCCTTGGTAATTAAAATAATTTGAATTTCTCGCTAAAACCAGTTGGATATTATTTTTATGACTATGAACTATCGATCAAGCTAAAAACGATTGCGTTGTTTTAACCCATCAGGGTGAGCTAACCTCGTAGAAATACGTTGTCGCAACGAATACGCATAATCATCTTTTCAAATTCTCGTAAATCAAAAAATAATAATGTCAAAAATTCAAAAGCTTGAATAAAGTGTAAAAATTAGAACTCTACATTTCCAGGGTCGATTTTGACAAAAATCGAATCAGACTGAAGCTCTACATTCCACGACTGGAGATGATCGCTAATTACAGTCTGAATGGCAGGATCATGTTGCTACCGATTAGAGGAAATGGTTTAGGACGTGGAAATTTTACAGACATCGATGCAATCGTCACTCTACAATTGCAACGGTACAGTAACGAGAGGACAGGGCTGGTTCATCAGCGTGTGGAGGACATTTACGTGGACTTCAACATTGGTCACGCGACAGTTCACTTGGACAATTTATTCGACGGTGATGAAACGCTGTCCGCCGCGATGAATCTTTTCCTGAATGATAATTGGAAGACGGTGATAGCAGAAATCAGGCCAAAATTGGAGGAAACTATAGCTGATATAGTGAAGAATTTCGCGGACTCGATTTTCACTGTGTTTCCAGAGGATGTATTACTTCCACCTTGAAGTAATGTGGTTTTACTTTCTTTCTTTGATATTTAATTATTTAATAGTGCATTTTTGTAGAGAGTGTTGAATGATTTTGGAAAGCATGATATTAGTGTGATTAGAGTAAATGATTGTATTTTTCGAAGAGTCGTGGAGATTGTACTGTTACTGAAAATAAACAGATGAATTTTGTAAATATATTTTGTTAGAAATATGTCACCAATATGTTGTAAATGTCTTAGATTATTAATTGAAGTGATTGGAAATTTATTGACACTATTTTGGGATTCACAAAAAGTTGGGTATCCTTCAAAAATTAATTTTAGAAAGTGTAACGAACAAAATTTCTTTTAATACCATAAAGGAACTTAGTTAATATTTTTAATTTATTTTTTATTAAACATTA